GGAACTCCTTGAAAACCAACCCATTTCTCAGCTGCACTCTCGACATGCGCTTTTCTCCAAAATCGGCGTCGTGCCCACGTGTCTTCGCAGCTGCTTTAATGGCCTGGGCCGGCAGCAAAGGCACACGCAATCCCGTCTGAAGAAAAAACCTCTTGATCGACAAATACGGTCAAACGGCTCTCAACTTTTTCTGGGGCCCTAACACACACAGCCTCTCCTTCGAGAGGCAAATAACAAAATGCGTCAAGCTAAGTTTTGAGTCGATTTAGGAAAACAAGTTGGGACGCCACGTGCCAGGGTCTAAGGTGGGAGGAACAACCAACAAAAAGATGTTGTGGATGGGTCTCAGTGTGGCAGTATTCGGGGGGTTTCCCTCCGTTCCAGCATTGAATCATCAAGGTTCCAAAAATGCTTCAGGTCAGCGAATCGCTGCTCACCCCAGAAATGAGAATGGAATAACTCCTTTGCCCCACGACACTCCCCTTATTCGGGCACCCTTTTCAAGTATGCAAAACAGACCATCAAACGCTATGGGCTGGCCTAAAGCCCCCCCTCTCCTTTGGAGGCACACTGAAAGGAAGCGCACGCCGAACGGAAAAAACACCTTAAAGTGACTCGTTTTGCGATTTTTCCTGCAAGGTGCAAAAGTTGCGCAAGATGAAGTGCGCCACACATCCTCCAGCATCAAGACCAGGCCGTGGCGCTCGTGCACCTCCTAACAGGTCAAAAAAGAAATCTGATCTTGTGACGCCCCAAGCTGACACTCACATACGACCGGCGCCGACCATTGCTATGCCCAAATTCTGGCTTCTTTTGCAAAGCATGTCGATACTGACCCGCTATTGCGATATGTTCACTCGGGCACTCAGTTAACTCTCTCGTGACCAATGCCAACTCACGCTGGCACCCAAGAGCCTCGCTTACAATAGGGCTAGCGCAAAATGAGACCAAGCATATGCGTCGTTTGCAACAATGTCTCAGCTCTGAGAAAAAAGGACGGACTACACGTGATTTGTCGACTTCAAGAACTCGTCAAAGGAGCGTTCACCCGGGCCAACACGCCCTCCTTCTGAAGAGGCGCTCACTTGCTCTTCTTCTTCACCTTGGCGGCTTTCTTCGGGGCCGCCGCCTTCGCAAAAGTGATCTCTTTGCCAGAAGCGATCGCCTGTGACGCATTCGGCAGCGGTGGGGTGGGGAGTGGGGGGGGGGCGGGGGGGGGGGGGGGGGGTGGGGTTGGGTGGGGTAGGGCTGGGGGTATGGAGTGGGGCGGGCGGGCGGGTGGGCGCCCGCAAGTGCATGCGTGTGTGTGTGTGTGCGCTACATGTGGGAGTGGGTGTCGGTGTGTGTGTGTGCTGGTGTGCGCTGGTGTGTGCTGGTGTGTGCTGGTGTGTGCTGGTGTGTGCTGGTGTGTGCTGGTGTGTGCTGGTGCGCTTGTACGCTGGTGTGTGCTGGTGCGCGCTGGTGTGCGCAGGTGTGTGTGCTGGTGCGCGCTGGTGCGCGCGCGTGCGTGCGTGCGTGCGTGCGTGCGTGCGCGCGTGCGTGCGGGTGTGTGTGTGTGTGTGTGTGTGGGTGTGGGTGTGCGTGTGGGTGTGTGTGTGTGTGTGTGTTGCGCCGCGCCTCGCCACGCTGCGCTGTGCGTGTTTGCCACTGTGTCTGCGTGCGTGTGGTGTTTCTGTGTGTGGCTCTGTCTGTGTCTGTGCGACTGTTTTTCTATATAAATATATTTACATATATACATGTCTCTCTCTCTCCCTCTCTTTGTCTGTCTGTGTTAAAACCCCCCAACCACGGCCTGGCTAGGCAAACGCGATTGAAGGTTGATTTGTCATACCAGCGCACGATCAAAGTGTCAAAGCCCAGGTGATAAGCGTCTGCGCAAAGCCGACACCCGTTTCGTAATCCGACAACTGCGGGGCCGCATTGAAAGGAACCAGCGTTCGATCAGAGCTGACGCGACATGCGAAAAAGTGCCTCCTCGCGCCTTCTTCACTTCAAGCTGCAGGCCGTGGGAGAGCGCCCTGCCGCAGTCGAAGCTGATGCACGCGCTCGCCCCGCGAGAGCCCGGCCGCAGAAGTCCTCAGACCCAGCTTTGCAGCTTCATGTTTGCGACCGCTACGAGAAACAATATGTAAGACAAATGCAGCCCAGCGTCCGAACAAGCTCGGGAGGAGGCACCACTTTGAGTCGGACGGGAAGTCCACACGGACGATGCGGGACGCCATCTCTGGCATTGTCTGGATGTGCGCAAGCACATCCGCTTCCGCATTGAACCATGCTCCTGCAAGCCGCTCCGCGAGTGGATTCTGCTCATGTGTCTGCTGGAATTTCGGACCAGTCATTGAACCAACAACTTAAATTTAAACAAACCCCTCTTCAACACACCGCTCTTCAATCCGTCTCTCAGGCGCTACAAAACGAACCTACCTGTCACAACTTCCAAACGCATTGTTTTTCTCTGGCTCTTTCTTCTTCATCTGCGAGGTGATCGTGAGCGGTCTAG